TATATATATATATATATATATATAGATACACCACCAGAAAAGAATCTGGTGGTCTTACAGAAACACCCAATCTCCACAGTGAGCATTAGTAAATAGTAAACTTGTTGAGAGAAATTGATACAAAGATATGGGGGAAAAAAAGAAATTTGAAGAAATTACAGTATGTTACAAAAAGTTTTGTTTCAAAAAACACAAATCTACTTAAAAAAAGAACAACAAAGGACCATTTATCCTTCAAAATTATCCCTGTACAACTACCCCTCTGGAAAAATAATAATAAAAATTAAACCCACCCTTAAACAGTAAAGACAAAAAAAAAATAACCTCAAAAGAAAAAGAAGTGGTAAAGAATTCTGTATGAAACACTGTCAAAAGTAAACTCTGCTTACCTCTGCTAATTCAAACTCCACAAAAGCAAAGCCTCTGTGCTTTTCTGGTGGACGTCGTCAAGGTAAAACTGACAGAATATATATATCACAATACACACTGAATGTGCCTGATGGCTATACAGTTGAATAACTACATTTGTTTTTCAAACACAATCCCTGAAAGCAAGGAACCATTTGTTCCTTCAAGGCTGGAAAGTTTTAGTCAATTAACTTAACAGAACTGATTGAAGAAATGATGACAAGGTCTATACAATGAATATACATAAGATGACATGCAACAGTACCTATGGACAAACAGTTGTGCTATGATAAAACTTTCTGTCGTTTCATAAATATTAAAACAACAAAAACTTTTAAGTAAAATTTAACATTTTCAAGAAACTTACAAACAAAAGGGAGATTTCATTGTTTACTATCAAAACTCTATAACTAAAGACAACTGATTGTATTGTAAGTGAACTCATGCTTAGCTTGTTTTTCCAAATTTTGAACATGTCCTCTCAAGCTATAGTCTTCAGATCTCCATCAATAACAACTTTTTTGATTTCTCTCACCCAGCTAGAATCTGGTTAACTAGTCTTTACCCAACTCCCATTGATGTGACTTAATTAGCTAATTTTTTGTGTAAAATATAAAGAGTATGTATAATTTTACAAGTAATTTTATTGGATGTGTAGGGACAGTCTTGAAGAACTAAATGGTTTGTTCTTGCACATCTATTTTACAAGTAATTTTATTGGATGTGTAGGGACAGTCTTGAAGAACTAAATGGTTTGTTCTTGCACATCTATTTTACAAGTAATTTTATTGGATGTGTAGGGACAGTCTTGA